TTTTTGGTCAATCTCCTGTTCTTCCTTATGAGTGTCCTCTGGTTTTGTTCACTTTTGAGGCTGAACTGTGGGTTGGGGCTGTATTTTTTGCAGTTTTGAGATTTAATTGAGGGGGAAGCTGTGATTCAGAATCTATCTGCAGATCCCAGTATCCACCAACAGGTGTATGGGCACACTGGAACCCACTTCCCATTGCCTTACAATCTGTCTAGGCAGTAGGGTTTAGGTTTGCTCCCTGGAACAAAAGGAGGTAAGAAAAAGGAAAATAATGGAAGAAGGGGGGATCAAGAGGAAGTTGGAGAGAGAGAAGAGTAAGAGGGAAAACAGACATACATACCAACTAACGAATGAAAAGAGACACAAGGCCAGAAAAGAGAAAAAACCAAACAAAGTTCCCTAAAGCATACTGGTAATCACACAAAGAGAGTCCAATAAAATCATGCGTTTTGATGTGCTTTCCTCAAAACAAACAAGTAGTTAACTCAAAAAAGTAAACAAAAGTGAGCAAAACAAACAGTCAAAACAATAAAATCAAAAATCAAAATAAGAAACCAGACTAGCTCTGGAGTCTTTCCTGAGTATCTAAAGTCTCTTCAGCTCTGATCTCTAGCCTCTCCCCTTTGCAGGCAGATAGATTTACATAGGTTGGGTTGGTTCCCTTGGCTTGCTGCCTGAGGTCTGCCACAGGACTGAGTTGCCTGTGTCTGATTCAGCGTAGGGGAGGGCCTTTTGTCTCCTGTTTGGCAAGGTTACCTTAGAAACCAAGGTGGAGGCTGCTCATAGATGGGCGGGGCAATGCAAATCTCTGCCTGGAAAATGGCTGCGGTGGGCAGTTCTTTCACCGATCCTTTCTCTCCACTCATCCTTTCTCTCCACTTGTCCTGTCTGTGAATGATCCACTATGATGGGCTGTGGTGGTGTGTGTCTGACGTCAGGCACTGGGAATTCGGCGGCTGGGGATGGAGGAGGGAGCCGGGAATTCCCCTGGGCTGGAGTCGAAAACTGAGAGCAGTTTTTCAGCAAGTGGTAGCAAACAGCAGAGGCCATAGTGCAACGAAGGCTGTTTGCTGTGTGGGGGTGGCTGCAGCTACCCCCTGTGTTGGCAGCAGCTGTGGGGGCACATGGAATTGTCTTCAGGAGTCACCTTTTGTGGAGATCGTCACAATTCAGTTTGTCCTGTCGCCATCTTAAACCGGAAGTTCGTGTTTTTAATAAAGTTTAATAGCAGAAAAGGAAGTTTCATATAATCTTGAGTGTCTGTGTACCATGCTATATGCCTAGCTTCTTGGACAAGACCAAATAATCTATCTATCTGTGTAGTGTACCTGAATTGTGGGCAATATTATTACATCAAAAGCTTCTTTTAAAAAATTAAAGCATTAAAGCTGTCTTGAAATGCATAAACCTGTAAAGTGACAGACATTTAAGCAATTACCTTGACCATTAAGCCAGCATAAACTACTAAACTGGATATATCTGCACAAAATTGTGTTTTGACCTTTTGTCCTTTGCTTTCATGAAGACAGAAAATAAACCCACATAAAAGGTAAGATAATGATGTAGTCATTCTTTTGTGCTATTAACGATTATAAACTAAAAATGTGTACACGTGTAGGATTCTCTGAAAGGTATATTTTGTGACAACTCAAGCCTAGCTCTCTACATCTTCTCCCATTGGACAGATGAATGGCTTGCAGTCACATCACTGAATACAACTTGGAAATATTAGTCCATGTTTTCAATCTTACTGTGTTCCCATGTAAGTCAATTACTTAAGATACTTTCAAAAGGTGATGACTTCCTGTTCCAAGCAAGTAAATTTTTTCCCTCTTCTTTTAGTAAATTGTGTTCACATGGTAGAGACCAGAATTTAAAATATGCATACGATTTTTAGCTAGCCAAATTAATTTTAAGACATTATAGTTCCATGGAAGGAAAATATAAGAAGGGTACAAACTATTTTAATTGTCAAAATTAAAATTTAGGGAGGTTTCCCACGAACATCTCAGACTTATCATCTTTCCCTCTGGTGAGATCAGCTGGAGCTGATATGTGATGTCCACCTTACCCAGAGCATGAGGTCTCCAGTCTCCACCCCTCTCTCCATGGCCCGAGACCACAAGTCTGTGGCTATTGATTGAGGCACGCCATGCTGCTCTGCTTTTCCTAGAGAAGGGAGTGGAGAAAACTCACCAAAGTGGGAAAACAGCACAGGTAAGATAAATGGGAGAAAGTAAATGAGTGAAAATCAGTATTTCCATGCCAACAGCATGCCTAAAGAAGACAATTACTCCATTAAAAAATAAACCCCTGGCCTGCTTCACTGGTTTATATTACATACTTGGTTCCCATGTGCTTTTTACATTGTTGGTTTCTAGATTCTCAATTATTTAGTATTTTTGGAAAGACTGACCTTACCTGATCTCCACTGTTTATTAGCACCTCCAGTTAGAGGCATAAACTACAACACATACTCAATCTGACCATTTTAATATTTTGTCCAATACTGGAGAAAGGGTTTACTGGAAAAGGATGTCCAAATTATCTAGATTAAATTAGCTAGTTTTTTTTCTCCGATTGTAGCTAGTGATGTTTATACTTGAGTAAATGATGGAGGTCTAGAAAGCAGGGGCAATATTGTATTTCCAGAAATGAAGCCTTCAGTGGCGTCAGTTTACTGGCTAAACGTTCTAACCTTCTGAGAAGTCCTAGATTTGTGGCTTGAAATCTGGGTGCACATACTAGAAACACTAGCTCAAGTTCAATCCCTATTACCAAACATCAAAGAAGGGATAATGCAATGTCCTATATGAGCTCCAAGATTACAGGACTATTCTAAGAAAGACCTTTCTTAAAGCAAAGGTTTATGTTTTTATAGATCACAATGATATGAGACACTTACAGATCAAAGACTACTATTTAGAATAAATCCCAATGGGGCTTTCATTTTGTCAAGTTAATAAGGATTATGTTAAACAAACTAGTAAAATCTCAAACACTTCAAAGACTAAATCTTATGTTTTAAATTCAGGATGAAAACAGTACACGTTTTAAAATAAGCTGCCATAACTAACTAACTTAAAGATGTAATTTAGCAATTAAGATGGGTGGAAAGTATGTTAAACACATGAGAATGAGTAACTCCTAGAACAGCTGTGACACACTGATACACCCTGTAGCTCCCAAGTATCCTCTATGATACCCTATTAACATCAAGGAAACTATAGCCTAACACTGACCTGGCTCTCGAATAAGGGAGACATGAGCTAAAGGCGTCAGGCAGCTCTGCTGTTTACAAAGCAGTTCTGCTGTGGGACTGATCCCTCCCAACTCTGGACCTGTGACCTGAATGCCTCCATGCCTGTGTCTCCTTCCCAGTTTGACACCTTGATCTCTCACACTGCATGGTTTCATGGAGACCATTCTATACTCTGCCTGTCATTGTCACAATACCTTGGTCTAATCTGGTTCAGTTGTGTTTGGGTATGCTGTTCTTCACCATAAATATGTTCTAACTGACATCATCAATTACCTGCCCTGTCTTCACAGTGAAAAGTATCCTACTAAAGCAGCACTTTGGGCCTCCTCATCCCCATTCTCTGAAAGGAGGAAAGTCACAAGAATAGTGGCTCCCAGTGGATATAAACATCAACAGTTGACTTGGAATACCTCTAATTTAATTCTGTACAAATTCAGGCATGCTGATCTTAGACCTTTTAAACTGAAAAAAATGTAGGATTATTTTAGTTACTAGCTTCTATCCCCAATCAGGAATTAGTAAATGAAAAGCAACTGAAAATATATTTCTACATAATTTTGTGAAAGTGTAAGACACATAAGTATAAAGAGGATCAAGAGTCAGAAGAGGTCAGAACTTTTGTTGGAACCTTTTCGTCAGTGAATATTCTACTGTAAAAACAACACCTCAACCTTTACTAAAAGTAAAAGGCAGCGAAACTAGTGAGTGAACTCTGTACTCTTTTATAAAAAGGTCAGAGTCTTTGTCAAAGGGATAAATTTTAGGTCTTGTCTTTCTTTTTCTACCACCTGTTCTTATTTATTCTTTTCTAAATATGGTAGGCTGTGGCTCTCCTTAACTTTCAATCTACAAAGATACCGTTCCTATTTCTTTATAAGATGACATTAAGATGCAGATCTCACAAGCACCTAGGTCATGTGAGCACCAGGAATGTCACACCCCTTGGGTAGGTCCAGGGTGTGGAACATAATAGGAAGCCTGTGTATAGAACAGGGTCACTCACTCCTTAGCTGACATTTCTAAGGACCCACCAGTGGGAAACTGGACTTTCAATTCTGACTTCATTCCCAGATCAACTCTGATATACACAGCTCTAATTCTAGGTCATTTTTAATTACTGAAGTAGAAAACATACTACCATCTCAGCAAAAATGCTAATCAACTATGATACATAATATCTACATTAAGAAAAGGTATTATCTGGGCTCGGTGGCTCAGCCTGTAATCCCGCGCCTTGGGAAGTTGAGGTGAGTGGGTTGCCTGAGCCCGCGGGTTCGAGACCTGCCTGGGCAACTTGGTGAGACCTCATCTCTACAATAAATCAAAAAATTAGCCGAATGTGGTAGTACGCGCCTGTAGTTCCAGCTACTTTGAAGGCTGAGGCGGAAGGATCACGGGAGCCCAGCAGTTCGAGGCTGCAGTGGCCAGGAGCGGCCACTGCACTCTAGTCTGGGCGACAGAGTGAGACTCCAACTCAAAAAAAAAAAAAGGTATTAATCAAATGTTATCTGTGTTTAAAAGTACTAACAGGATAAGCAAGTTATAGTCATCAGGTTTTTAAGAATCTCAACCCTATTTCTATTATTCAGTCTCTATCTTCAAAAAGAGTCTTCAGTGGCTGTAATATGACCTAATGGTTACTTAAGTGTCTCGACCAAAAGAAGAGTTTGATTTTTGGTCAATCCTTTTTCATTTGATAACAACAGTAATTCCATTTATAGAAAAGAGACTGTCAAATTTCAAAGGTTTAAAGGTTCATTATAAAAGTCATAACAAAATTTAAAAAGTACTCATCAAGAACAATCATGGTATAATTTCATTCATCAAATTCACTTAAAACATAAATTACAGTATAGAAAGGGACACTACAACATAAAGTGTTCTACAACTAACTTGTGCACAACCAGCCTCTTAGAAACAAACACCACACCATATGGTTTTAATAAAAGGCAACTGCAGTTCCACTTTCCAAGCTGTATTTTTAAGTTGAGGGTTTTCTGTAATTAGTTTTTCATTAAATTTTCTCCACATCAAGTTTAAAGATATATGTCATCCTCATCACCAAGAATTGTATTCCCTGAAATGTTAAAATCAAGCACCTGATAACTAGGTACCTCTGTTGTTGTCTCGGTTACTTTTATTTTGCTGAGGAATATGAAACTACTTTGAAGGTCAATCCAAGTTCAAGTCCACACCAGAGTTGTAACACTTGGGTTTTGTTCTTGTTTGCTTCTTAGGAAGCATGCATAGGAGTCATAGTAGATACAAAATTGAGATTATGACAAACAGCTTTTTAAATTCTTTTCTTCTTTCATCCACCCCTGGGAGCTCCACCACCCCTATCAAATTTAGATTTGGGAGGAGGTGATTTTGGTCAAAGTCTCCTAATTTCTTTAGTCCTCAACTTATATATGAGTTTATTTAAGATTTTAAAAAGAAGGGAGAAAAACGCTGAAGTCTGTTTTTATTGTTTCATTAAGAAAACGTTAAAAGTCTGACAGAAGCTCACCATCTGTCCCAACTGTTCTGTCATGGCTCCCAACAGCTCCCAGTTTGCTACAGAAGCAGTACAGGATGCACTTTACCAGATCCCGTCAGCACTAACATGACACCACAGACTGGATCTCCTTCACTGCTCACCTACTTCTAAAAAGCAAAATCTTTTGTAGTTAGTTGGAGTCTACCAGAATAAATTCAGTCTCTGAAGGTGAAGCTATTTGAGTTGTTCCGTTCTGTTCATGCATGTGACAAAAGACAGAATCCCTCATTCATCCTGAAAACCAGACAGTGTATGTGACAACTGCAAGGGAGGTTGGCTAAGACATTCCTGATGCTCAAGGAAACTAAAGCAAAGTGCAAGTGGGAACTGAGTTCTAAAATAAGTCTCCCACTTGAAATTCAACTACAATAAAGAAGGTGAGAGGTGCATTAACAGGATCAATGTCTTCAAAATTATCGAGGTGGAAAGCCACCTCTGTGTGCTCCTCCACGACCCCCTCTAAAGCCACCTCTTTCTCCTCGGAAGTTCGATCGATTTCTTTCCCGACCACGGCCAGCAGAAGTTCCACCTCTTCCTCCACCCCTGGGAGCTCCACCTCCCCGGTCAGATTTAGATTTGGGAGGAGGTGATTTTGGTCGAAGTCTTTCAATTTCTTCTGTACATCCAGTCAAGTAGGAATTAGGGGTGCTGAAATAGGATGCATATGTTTCTGCATTATAGTTGCTATTTGTAAGTGTTGGTCCAACTGTGAGCCAGCCTGAAATAGAGGAAAAAAATATTATCCTTTTATTTGCAATTCCTTCTTCTCTTATTGATCCTTCAGAGGCTAGTTCAAATCCCTAGTACATTCTTAAAGATGTCCCCATCACTCACCCAATAGTGAGGGATCTCTACAGAATGTGGTCATATTTTAAAGATTTCATATGTTTGTATCTTGTTTCTCCTCCTAGCCTGTAACTCCTGTAATATATCCTTCTCAGTGCCCTCATCTGTCATCTACCTTTTGTGAGAATAGTGCTTAGAGAAAAAATACTATACACTGAGTTTGGGCTCAAATTTAATAAATTATACATAACCTTCCTACTTATAGGTTCTTTATCTGTAAAATTAGGTTTACAATATCTCCACCTCACTACCCTCAAGGTTATTTCTTAGAGTAGTAGATGCATCATAAAATGCTACACAATAAAAAATTTTTACTAGCGTCACATTTTAAAATGTAGTAGTCATTTTTGTACAATATTTTGTTCGCTGTTTTAAAAATCTTCATTGTCTAACACTGCACAAATACAACAGACTTGTAATATTTGAAGAAAAATAATAATAAAAGGCAAATTATACTAGTAGACACCATGATAAATAGAGAAGACACACAAGACCAATTAGCACATTTCATACCTATGGGATCTCACTGACTCCTGAATCTAAGAGATTTGTACTTGCTCCCTTCTTGTTTGATTTTGGCATGTTTGTGGTATTGTGCTGTATTGTGTGAAGCACATCACCACAAACTAGGATGGAACATGCCACAAACAAGGAATAGGAACCAGAAAATGTTAAGACATAAATAAACATAACTAATACTGCTTCTCCCAGGCCATACTGCCTCTCAAAAATAAAACATGCAAATCTCTGTAAAGCAAACTGGTTATAGAAGCCCAAAGAAACCCTTTCTCCCTCAAATTCTTCACTGCAACATTGTTTTTACTGCAGGTTCTTAATGTATTAATAACATCAGAGTAAGTTTAAACTAGCCTGGGCTTCAGAATATATTTGACTTACATAGCTATCTTTAAACCTTTATTTTAAGGCAGTAGAAAATAGCATTCCCAAGGTATATGTGAACTACCTTAGACTATCTCCCTGCAGAGGAAATATATTTGAGGACTCGACCCCAGTAAATTAAGATCTCATGAGCAGACTCTCAACTGCCCCTACTATTATTTATGTGGTTAACTCCCAAACATCTATACTTTCACAAAGCAAATTTTTCTTCCTAATTATGTTTTACTGTAGCTAATACTAAAAAAAATTTCTGCCAGAATAGACAAGAGCAAAGAATCAGATGGTAATTTACAAGTAAAAATGAAATCTGAACACCTAAGATTGTAACTGGTACAGATACAGACAGATGACATCTTGTATGAAAGCTATAATGTATAATCTAAAGTGGGTAAAGAGCCATAGCGCCGGGCTCGGTGGCTCAGCCTATGATCCTGCGCCTTTGGGAGGCTGAGGTGAGTGGATTGCCTGAGCCCACGGGTTTGAGACCCGCCTGGGCAGCGAGACCTCATCTCTACAATAAATTAAAAAATCAGCTGGGCGTGGTAGCGGGCGCCTGTAATTCCGGCTACTCGGAAGGCTGAGGCAGAAGGATGGCTGGAGCCCAGCAGGCCGAGGCTGCGGTGGCCGGGAGCGGCCACTGCACTCCAGTCTGGGTGACCGAGTGAGACTCCAACTCAAAAAAAAAAAGAGCCATAGCAAAGCAGATAAAAACCACCACTGATAATTAAATTATAATTATAAATAAAAATTGGTATAAAAAGATGAATTTTAGCTGCTTCTTATGTTCAAGTCTATAACTACATGAACAATTATTCACTCTTTACCATGTAGGTTCTCCTATCTTTTAAAAAATCTTAATAGTGATCATTAAAACAATGCAACAAGCCGGCCCGGTGGCTCAGACTGTAATCCTGCGCCTTTGGGAGGCTGAGATGAGTGGATTGCCTAAGCCTGAGGGTTCGAGACCCGCTTGGGCAGCGAGACCTCATCTCTACAATAAAATCAAAAAAATCAGCCGTGCGTGGTAGCGCACGCCTGTAATTCCGGCCACTCGGAAGGCTGAGGCAGAAGGATCGCCGGGGTCCAGCAGGCGAGGTTGCGGTGGCCGGGAGCGGCCACTGCACTCCAGTCTGGGTGACCAAGTGAGACTCCAACTCAAAAAAAAAAACAATGCAATAAGGCATTAAAATGATTATAGTTATTTAAGATATAGAAAATATCTGATGTAATACTAAGGGAAAATACAAAATAATGACTACAATTACATAAAAAAATGACTACAATTACAGGTACAGAAAAAGTATTATGTAAAAAATTAAAATAATTATGAGCGATTTAAGATTCACTCTTTTGTCTCCTTCAAAACTTTCCAAATGTTGTTACATTAACTTTTTGATTATTAAATGGTCCTTATCTGATGTTTGCTTCTACTCTTCAAATAGTTTTGTTTTTTCTTAAATTTTTTGCTTCCTTAAAACAGCAGCTGCCACTGGAGACTTTTCGCAGGCGTTATATTTGAACAGGACAAGTTAACAGTGGGAAAAGTCTGTTCTTTATTTACTAAAACACTAGAGCAGTCTTGATATTCAATATATATGGACACTTAAAACTCTGAAAAGCCCAGCGTAGTGGCTCAAACCTGTAATCCCAGCACTTTGGGAGGCAGAGGCTAGAAGATGGCCTGAGCCCACAGGTTCGAGACTAACCTGTACAACATGGTGAGACCTCATTACTACAATAAATCAAAAAATTAGCTGGGCTTGGTGGCACACACCTTTAGTTCCAGTTACCTGGAAAGCTGAGGCGGAAGTATCACCTGAGACCAGCAGGTCAAGACTGCAGTGGCCGTGAGCGTGCTACTGCACTCCAGCCTGGGTGAGAGAGTGAAACTCCAATTCAAAACAAAACAAAAACCAAAAAACTCTCTGAAAAGGTATACTCCTTCAGTTGAATATCTAGTAACGTTATTTTCGCTTAAGCCGGTGAAGAGAAAATATTTGCTTGCCACAAGCTCTGCTGTCCCCCCTCCAAAAATTGTTTTATACTTTGATAAGAAAGTAAGGTCATCCATAGAACTTCCAAACAAGATGCTCATGTTCATGTATATTAGTAGAGGAAGTCTAAACAACTCCAAGTTCATTTTATATATATATATATATATAAAATCTTATATATATATAGAATGTAAAAAACAACATAGGCATGAGTTATATGCATATTAAGGAAAGACTGGCTTGAAAAAATGAAGGAAACTATAAAGATTAAACTACAGCATTCTCACTCTTTAAAAAGCAATATACTATTTTAATTTAGAATTTAATAATCATGTTTCAATCTCCAAGATACTCAATAAAAGAACAGTAAAAAAGCCTAACAGGTTAATGAAAAGGAAAAACGGAATAATAAAGACATAACTAATATATCTAAATAAGAGAAAAAGGAACACAGAACACGTAGTACCAATATAAAGCAAAGAGTAAACTTTATATTGGTACCTTATATATATATGCTCAAATATATCAGGAATTACATTATAGTTTGACTGAACAGTCCAATTAACAGACAAAGGTAAACTTGATGAAAAAGTAACCATTTGTTTATTCATAAGAGATACACCTTAAATGTAAGGATTGAAAAATTGAAAGTGAAAGGATGGAAAGAATATGCCGTGTAAACACAAATGTAAGAGAGCTGGAATTGCTATCAAGATACCAGATGAGGTGGAATTTAAGGCAATAATACTTGGTTAAGAAGGACATTTCATAATATTATGAGGACCAATCTACCAGGAAGGCATAAAAATTCTACCTTTTCTATGTGCAGAACAACAAAGACTCAAATAGATATAAATAAAAAACTGATAACTAAACAAAGAAAACCACAAATCTATAACCACAATAAATTTCAACAGACCTTTATCACAGAACAAGTAGTTTAAAAATATCAGTAAAGATCTGGATGATCATCTAAATAGCACACAATTAAAAAATACTATAACCAAAGAAAAACAGTATATATTTTCTTTCAATTGGACTTGAACTATTTTTAAAAACTGAGTCATGAAGCAAATTTCAATAAATTACATAGAAGTGAGATCTTATATGTTATTTTACAACAGTATTAGTCCAAAATCAATTTAAAAACTCAAGCAATACAATACTGAATAACCAATAGATTAACTATTTAAGCATAATGAAAATTTAAAAAAAAATTCAAATAAACGATGATAAAATACATGTCAAACTTTTGGAATGCAACAAAGCTATGCTTTGAGAAATTTAGAGCTCTAAATACAATACCACAATACAAAAAAAAGTTGAATATTAATATTCTGTACACACTTCAGATAGAAAGATAGCAAGTAAATCCAAAGAAAGTAGGAAGAAGCAGAAGTTCATTAAAAATAAACATGCATCAGGAGAAGGAGAAGACAGTCACAGACTGGGAGAAAATACTTGCAAAAATAAAACTGATAAAGGACCATTATCCAAAATATACAAAGAACTCTTAAACCTCAACAATAAGAAAACAAACAGGTCAATAAAAATTTAAAAGGGGCCAAAGATCTTAACAGACACCTCATGAAAGAAGACATACATATAGCAAATCAGCATAAGAAAAGATGTCCCTGCCAGGGCTCAGTGGCTCAGCCTGTAATCCACACCTTGGGAGACTGAGGTGAGTGGACTGCCTGAGCCCGCAGGTTCGAGACCTGCCTGGGCAACTTGGTGAGACCTCATCTCTACAATAAATCAAAAATTAGTCGGGTGTGGTAGCACGCGCCTGTAGTTCCAGCCTCTTAGAAGACTGAGGCGGAAGGATCGCCAGAGCCCAGCAGCTCGAGGCTGCGGTGGCCGGGAGCGGCCACTGCACTCCAGTCTGGGTGACAGAGTGAGACTCCAACTCAAAAAAAAAAAAGAAAAGATGTCTCACATCATATGTCATCAGACAAAGACAAAACAACAATGGGATATCACACTACACATATTAAAATTGCCAAAATCCAGAGCACTGACAACACCAAATGCTGATGAGGATGTGTAATAACAGAAACTCTCATTGGAAGTGGAAATGCAAAATGGTACAAGCACTTCAGAAAGCAGTTTGGTAGTTTCTTACAAAATTAAACATACTCTTACCATACTATCTGGCAATCGTACTTCTTACTATTTACTCAAAGGAGCTGAAAACTTACATCTACACAAAAAACTGTACACAGATATTTATAGCAGCTTTATTTATAACTGCTAAAACTTAGAAGCAGATGTCCTTCAGTAGGTAAATGAATAAATAAATTGTGGTACATCCAGACAATGAAATATTATTCAGTAATAAAAAGAAATGACTGATCAAGCCATAAAAATACATGGGGGAACCTTAAATGTAAAAATGAAAGCAGCTTTTTCATTTTTTTCAACCTGAAAAAGCTACATACTATATGATTCCAACTATATGACATTCTAGAAAATTATGGAGACCATGACAAGATCAGTGGTCGGCAGGGGCTATGGGCAGAGATCAACAAGCGTGGTACAGAGGATGTTTAGGGCAGTGAAACTGAGTATGACACTATCACAGTGGATACGTGTCATAGAATGTACATCAAGAGTGAACCCTAATGTTAACTATAGACTGGGTGATTATGATGTGTCAATGCAGGTCTATAAATTGTAACAAACAGACCATTATGGTGGGGAATGCTAGTAACAGTGGAGGATATGCATATATGGGAATCGCTGTCCCATCCTCTCAATTTTGCTGTGAACCAAAAACTTCATATTTAAATAAAGTACAATAAGAGGAACCAAATACATAAGAACTTTATTTTACACAATACTCTGTCCTATTTCAGTATTCTGTCCTATTTCTTGACATCAATAGTCCAAAAAACCATAAAGTTGTGTTTTTTGTTTGTTTGTTTTTTTAAACTGATATCCTACCTGGTCGAATTGTACTATCTCTTCCAAATAGATGAAGGCGTCTTCTACCAAGGCAAAAATGCTCAATTATATGAAAAATTTCTACAGGTTTTTCTATATTGCCAATTTCAGGTTCTTCTGTGATAATTAAGTCAATGTCAACATTAGCATGAATGAAGTCCCCATCTGTGCTACGCTTCACAGTTCCTTTGATCCCCATGAGGCAGTGTTCCTAAATAACAAAAGTAGATCAGTTCATTTCTTTTCATTAACAGTCATATTGCAAAACATTTTATATTCTGATGTCCTCAATTCCAAAACAATCTCCATTTCTCTGAATCTCTGGAATACAGTTCTGTGGGCAAAAGAACAATCTCTGAATCCCTGATGAGGGAAGACCAACATGTACACAGGGAAAACCAACATTCTTCTATATTCTCACTCCCAACGCTCAATCAATTTTTAGGACACTTTCCTTCTAACACTGGATGTGTAGGTTTTTCCCACACTAAGCAATTCTCCACTTCTCCATTAATGCTATAATCATGTCAATTCTGACACCATCTACTGAAGTGCAGACTCACAGGTCAAGGACTCAGTATCACAGGACTGCTCCCATTTCAAATACCAATCACAAATCCAGGTTGTCATTTGTGCTTTCTTCTGACCAACCAGCTGTAAATTGGAGGTTCCTATGATCCCCTCATCAAGTTAGATCATTTGCTAGAAGGGCTCATGGAATTTGGGAAAGCATTTTATTTGCTATAACCTATTATAAAAGGATACACTCAGAAACAGCCAGAGGGAAGAAATGCATAGTACAAAGCACGGGGGAAGGGAATTGGAGCTTCTATGCCTTTTCCAAGCAGACCACCCTCCCAGCAACTCTACAGGTTCACTAAACCAAGACCTCTCCAACCCCTGTCCTTTTGGAATTTTATGCAGATTTCACTACATAGGCATGATTCCAATCTAAGAAGGAACCTCTTAGATTGGATCAGTGGCACCAGTGGCTCCCTACAGAGTGAGAAATAAAAATAGCTAAAGCCTGATACTAGCAAAGTGGAGTCAATAAAGCAGTTCTCAGGAGTTCTTGTGTAGGAAAAAAAAAAAGGATAGAAAGAAATATGTCTCTACGCCGGCCAGTTATAAGTCTTGCTGCCATCTCTTCTTTCTGAGGTTGGAGAATTAGAAAAGCTCTGGGTGTTAGGGTGTCAAAAGCCCATATCTAACTTAGAAATATGGCAGTTTAGAACATACAGGAATATATACTCTCCTCTCTAGCACAGTGAACTCAGAAATTGAATAAGATGTTTTAAAATTAAATTGCATGTATTCCTATAATACTCAACGCTACCTTTACAAGTCTAAGAAAAGGACCTTTCCACCAAAATTAATTAAACACTATACAGTGATTTGGGAAAGCTTGAGAGAAAACAATAAAAATTAAAAACAAAAAACATAGTAAAAACAATACCTTTGTTCTCTGAAAGACAGCCTTTGGATCTAAAGTCTTAGTCTTCCCAGGATTGTTTTTATTGGTTTTAATCCAGCAAATATCTTCACATCTTCTGTAACCCCACTTTCGTAAACACTAGGAATAAAAGAATATTTAAAAAGAAATCCTTAAAGAAATAAACAATACTTAAAATAACCTGCCAGCATTAAAAATTTTTTGTAGAGGTTTGACACACTAATTTTCAAGGTCTCATGGTAATTTTTAGTGTAGAATAGAAAAAAAAGAAATGCTAGTCTTTATACAGCCATAATACAAAATGCATACACAGAAAGGATTACATCATATCCCAGTTATTTAATATGACTAATCAGCCCTCTGTAATCACAAAATAATCCAAAAGATAATGATTCCTGCCACCTTAATTTTCTATCCTCTGACAAAGCTACTGTTGAAAATCTTCTGATTTCAAATGAGAATCTTATAAAACTTTATCTCTATAATATAATATTAACAACAGACTTCATACTGTTATATATATCTTGTTATTGCATAAAGTTGTACTTCCATCTTTATATAACCCAGAAAATAGAAAGGTGAACTTTAGTGTCCTAGAATCTGTTACATATGAACATTTAACAAATACCAGCTAAACCATTGCTCTGAGAAGCATTTTGCAGGCCTTTCATATACAGTACTGGTTAGCTACCTGGAACAAAAACACGAATAAGAAATAAGCCCCTACTCCAAATCAACTTAGGAGTAAAGAAGGGGAAAATAAGGAAATTGTGCAGTACAATACTATTGGTACTATGATCAAGTACATATAACGATATAGTAGAGCATAAAAATATACATACTTTTCAGGAATGCATATCACGTAAAGTGAGAAACACCTCAAAATAAAACTTAGATTTTTAATTTAAAATCTCAAAAATCAAGATCTGTTCCTGTCACTAAATATTTGTTTTGCACTAAGTGTTCATTAACATACAATGGCCTAAATCCCACATGCCTTGATCCACTAATTTACAAAAACTCATGAATATTTCTCATTAATTATTTTTGTTACAATATTTGCTTTCAGAGTTTCAAAATATGATAAACTGCTGCATAAGCAAATAAGATAAAACCACCTAATCAATTTCATTTGGGGGAAGGGAGTGACAGGCAAGAGCAAAGTACGACAATAAAGCTAAATAGTATACCAATATATCTATAAAATGTAAGTATATTTCTTGCTTGCTTTTCCAAAGTATCTTGAGTCACCACCAAAAAAAAAAAGAGATACCCAGCATTTTGAAAATACAGTTACAGTTTTATTTTGGATGGAAGCAATGATGCTACACAACAGCCTCAAACTTGCTGTTTACATAAAGAATATACAATAATTGTAGAATTTCAGACTTTGCACAATTTAATCTTATCTCATATAATCCTACTTAAAATCTTCACCTGTCAAATGGTCACCTCTTCAAATTAGCATGATTAAATGAGATCGTTTTGTGTGTAAGAAGTATATTATGGGCCGGGCTCGGTGGCTCAGCCTGTAATCCCAGCGCTTTGGGAGGCCAAGGTGAGTGGATTGCCTGAGCCCGCAGGTTCGAGACCCGCCTGGCGTGACCTCATCTCTACAATAAATCAAAAAATTAGCTCGGCGTGGTAGCGCGTGCCTGTAGTTCCAGCTTCTTGGAAGGCTGAGCGGAAGGATCGCCGGAGCCCAGCAGGTCGAGGCTGCGGTGGACAGGAGCGTGCCACTGCACTCCAGTCTGGGCGACAGAGTGAGACTTCAACTCAAAAAAAAAGAAAGAAAAAAACTATATTATGTCATAAAAATGGAAAGTATCATCCAATAACACGTGAGGAAACTGAGGCCTACACGAGTACCTTTTCGCCCAATGTCTCACTGTTGGGTAGCAGCTGAATTTAGACCAAAATTAAAGATGCTTGCAACCTAGTCACAATGCTGTCATTATTATATTGTTTCCTTTTAGAAAAAGATGCCAATCAAAAAAAAAAGGGTTCTGAAATACAATAAGATAACTTAAAATAAGTTCTGGTGCTAGAAATTCTTTCTCACTTTCATTCATTCATTTAAAGTATATGATCCATATATTTTGTTACTTTTCCAACTTGATCTGACCTCCAACTGGAATTCAGGAGTCAATGATATTCAGAATAATACTTTTTAGCTACTTATAAAAAGCAGTAAATGACATTAAACAGCTAGTTTTTGAGCTGTAATTTAGAGTTTCAAATCTCCAAACGATTATTTTCCTGCAGTTGTAATAAATTACATAAAGAGTTGCATTCATCCCTGGTACTAGTTAACTAACTTCAAGAGTGCTGCTTTTCTTACATTCTTTTCTGAACTTTTTTTTCTTCTAAATATTTTAGAACTATTCAAGAAATGAAAGGCAAAAAACATTAGTCTTCAAACTTCCTATGCAACATAGTGCTACATTTTTTTCTTATGAATTTAAAAAACACCATCTTACCACTCTTCCAAGGTCCAATCCCTCCCCGGAACCACACCAGAGAAAAATAAATGATCGAGGTGCTGCAATCTCATCAATTTCTAACTTCATAATCTAAAAGAAACCAAAATAATATTGCATTAAAATGTTTGTTTCCCATTCATCCTAAATTCAAAGGTACAAAGAATTATCACGATTCTCAGTAGATGTGTTCTTTAAGTGTTCTCTAAATATAAATTTCTATGAGAAAATATAATGGAACATAAATTTTATCCTTAAAATTACTTGTTCTGCTATTTTGTTCTTTATTTTTTCAGATTTTCCTGCTTTAATTCTTCTATATATTACCACAGTAAAATATTTAACAAAGTCCATGAATGGGACTATCAATAATAAACTGACCAGTGAAGAGAAAGAAAAATATCCAAAGGCAAAAAGTGACTTGTTATTTTATTTATATAGTACTGAAACCATCATAACATTTAGACACCCAGAGAATCTGAAGTGATATTAAATAGTAATTGATAATTCTGAAATACTACATCTTGAATTATCTTCTAAGTAACCAAAAACAGATGCAATTTTGTTCAGTGTAACTGCAGTGAAGTTTTTTTGACACAGAAGTATATTTTTTAAGCTATAATCCACATAAGGTAAACACAAAAATCTTAAGTGAATGTATTGGTCAATAAAACTCCACATTGCTCTGCTGTAATGGACTAATGAGCTTATCCATAACACCCTTTTAAGAAATTCTGGTCGAGGCTGGGCACCGTGGCTCATCCCTGTAATTGTAACATTTAGGAAAGACAGGGTAGGAGGACGGCTTCAGCCCAGGAGTTCGAGACCAGCCTGGGCAACATAATGTGCCTTGGCTCTACAAACAAGAAAATTAGCTGTGTGTGGTGGCACACACCTGTAGTTCCAGCTACTTGGGAAACTGAAGTAGAAGGATCACCTGAGCCCAGGAAGTCAAGGCTGCAGTGAGCCATGATCTTGCTACTATATTTCAGCCTGGGCATCAGAGTGAGATTCTAACTCAAAAAAAAAAAAAATATATATATATATATATATAGTCTATAGAATGACATGTTCAAATCATTTGCTCCCATTAATTTCATTAGCAAACCCTTCCAATTCCTTTACAAGATATTTAATTCCTCTAAATGTGATTGTTCATGAAGTGCCTGATTTCATTTTTCTCAAAACCAATTCCAGGTGTATCCTCTCACCTCCAGTCTGCGGGGTCATCATGAGTTTCAGGTCTCTGTACCTGGATTCTCACGGGACCAACCTCAGCATGTCCTACCCTTCCCCCAGCTGTTGGGAGAATGTGGGGTTAATAATGGCCTGTGGTGTTCCTCAGCATGACCTGCCAGAAAGTGATGATCTCCTTGGAAAAAAAGTCCTGGGCAGTAATCACAGGCCTGAGCTGACAGACATCCAGAAGAAAAGTTTGTGTCTTCTGGAATGTGGATGCCCTTCTGCAATAAATTCAGATCCCAAGGAAGACGTCTTCGAACTTGATGGGCTTCATGTGACCCATTATCTTGTAGATCCTTGGCACCAAAATCCCTAGATATCACGTACTCCAGCCTGCTGCAGTTGGGACAGGGAGGCGTGTAGAACACCTCGAAAGGGTAGGGTATTCCTGCTAGGAAATATGTGTTTTCTGGTAAAATCCTCTACAGGAATAGTTACTGATGAGAAGATTGCTTGTGAAAAACTTCTCTGAACAGTTTAAGTTTAAAAGACACTTTATTAAATTGCCAGTGTTGATGAAAACATCAGAGCCTGTCTTCATGATGTACTTGGCATTGGGGCAAAACTCCGTCACCCACCAGAATGCCATAATGGTTTTCAGGGTCAGCTTGTTATATGTGTTTAGAAAATCTTGTCGGATGCTGTCACCGTAAAGCAGGTGTTCATCCTCTAAAAACAGTGCTAACATTTTGTCTTCCTTCTTAGCCTGTTTGCCTAATAGAAAAAAACATAAGGACCTCATACACCCATCAGGACTTTTTTCACCCAACTAACTTTAATGGCCCGTTTAGCTTTCACATCGGAGGGCTGGGAGGTCACTAGGATGCTGAGAAATGGGGTCTGGTGAGAGCAGTTTGAATGCTCTTGCAGCGTGAAGAGGAAGTCCTGTCTGCAAACTGGCAAATCAGCTCGTACTCGAAGAAGTACACCCAGTTCACGCACTGGATCACGCTGCAGTGGGGGAAGCTGAGATACCTTATCACCAGGAAGCTAAGCAGCGACAGTGAGGGAGGCTCCATTCAGGGGATCGCAGGCCCATCCTAACCGAAAGGGAGGTCTGAGAGCCAGGGCCTTCCGCGGTGGCTCAGAAGCACATGCGCCACAGGTTCTTCTCGATTTCTTTCTTCTGAGTCAAGACCTTCAATTTCACCAAACACTCAGCATATATTGTCATCAGAAATACTAATGAAAAAGAGACTCTCAGATTGGCTTAAAATTCTGCCATATACTGCCTATAAAATAGACACTTGTAGAATTTCGGGTAAGATTAAAGCACTAGCTGAAGTTTGTTGTTTTCTTTACTCCATGCTTTAATTCAAACACTCAGATTTGGTCATTTCCTTGGTAGCAGCTTCTCCTTCAAATGCAGACACCTCCCATGCAGCGAGCACCAAGCTCAGAGGCGGTGACCAAGGCTCCCGACCGCACGCACACGCCTGTCTCGTTGTTTTACATACAAACAACATACACACATGCATATATATATATACACTTGCTTTTATGTGGTGAGAGCTTATAAGAAACAATATTTACAGAATTATGAAGTTTTGTAAGATGGAGCTTGAAATGATTCTACAGCATTTTACCATTTACAGAAAAAGAATGGAAAGATATTACATGAGCCCAAAGTGAAGGGCGAAATAAAAAGGAAAAATATAATAAACCTTGGAGAAAACGATGGTTTCCAGCATCTATAGAACAGTTGTCAATAATATACATATTTTCCTATAATGTCTACTTCAAGTCTGAAATGCCAAAAAAGTATAATCTATAATTGTTTAACTTGTACGTATTGAGTATGTCACATAAAAAAAAAAGTTCTTCAATAATTAAATATCTATTTGGGGAATACCATATTCTCATATAAATGACTGCAGAAGCATCCATTTTATGTGACATTCTTTTTCTTTCAGCCTTCTATAAAAGTTAAGAAATTGCAGAGATCATGGTTTAAACAAGAATTTACTAGTTTCATTTATTAAGACAATCTTAACTTATGTTTGAATAGCAGGTCAGTGTAAATTAACATTATACTATCTATAACTTAAGTAGGTAGAAAAAATTATTTGACAGGAATAATGGGAATAAATTACAACATATATAGAGACCTATTGCTTTACACTTGACTTTTCTTAAGTCGTGAAATCTCTCCTCATCTAATATTCTCACACTACAGTAACAAATTTTTTTACCAACTATAAGAATATTAATAATATGTAAGGCTGGGTACAATGGCTCACACCTGTAATCCTGTAATTTGATAGGCTGAGGTGGGAGGATTGCTTGAGGCCAGGACTTCAAGACCATTCCGAGCAACATAGTGAGACCACTTCTCTAAAATAATTTTTAAAAATTAGCTGGGTATGGTGGTATGCACCTGTAGTCCCAGCTACTTGGGAGGCTGAAGTAACAGGATCGCCTGAGCCCAGGGGTTCAAGGCTGCAGTAAGCCATGACTGTGCCAGTGCACTACAGCCTGGGCAACAGAGTGAGACCATGACTCAAAAATAAATAAATTAAACACATACACATACACATGTTTATATGTGGTATAGCTAAAGATAAGTGATGACATACATCAGAGAAGAATATTAAGCAAATGATTTCCTCTTGACACTATAATTCTAAAAGCTGTGTTAGTCTTTTAAGTAATTGCTCTATGTCCTCAGCTAAAATACACTGACCACTACTGACTCTCTAATTCCAAAAAAGAATATTTGTGAAACTCATTTTTCTTATGGATGTTTTATTAACTACATTAACTACTGGCACTTTGTTTAGGATAATATCATATAAAGGCTAATAGCTTAGGGATCTGGAACCAGACAAGACTTTTCAATATGCCTGCCAGAGGTGAAGGTCAGTAAAATTAAACTGAAATCAAGAAATTGCTGTAAAATATAATTCCTTTATTTAGAAAACTCTTAGTTTGTCACATATAATTGAAGCCTTTATTGGCCAAACCCCCCAGATCGACTAGACAAAACAAAGTTCAACCTCGCCACTAATTAAGACATAAGATTATTTAAATTTTGTTTTCTTTTGACTAAACTGAAAAAGATATTCTTTATACTAATACTTGGTTTTGATGAGGCTATGTGAACTACACATTCTTAAATCCTCTGGAAGAAATATAAATTTGTACAACCTATCTGAAGAAGTCAGCAATAAATACAAAGAACATTAAGTCTTTAATCTTAGGGTTTGGAAATATTATATTCTGTACTTTTCTGATACTTCAACTATAAGCAGATTATACTCATAATCACGAGAGAGGAAAAAAATGTTTAAAGTGATAACAGCCAGAAAAATGTAAACAAAAGTACCAGGGGTATTAAAGATAATGGAAAGTTTCAAGGAGGAAGAATTAGAGGTAAATCTTGAAAAATAAATATTATTAAGAATAGTAAGCCAGGCTCAGTAGCTCAGCCTTTAATCCCGCGCCTTTGGGAGATTGAGGTGAGTGGATTGTCTGAGCCCGTGGGTTCGAGACCCGCCTGGGCAGCGAGACCTCATCTCTACAATAAATCAAAAAATCAACCGGGTGTGGTAGCGCATGCCTGTAATTCCAGCTACTTGGAAGGCTGAGGCAGAAGGATCACCGGAGCCCAGCAGGTCGAGGCTGCAGTGGCCAGGAGCGGCCACTGCACTCCAGTCTGGGCGACAGAGTGAGACTCCAACTCAAAAAAAAAAAAAAAAAAGAATATTAATACAGACTGGGAAAAAATATTTGCCAACTATATGTCTGACAAAGGCCTAACATCTAGGATCTACAAGGAACTCAAATGTGCCAAAAAGAAAATAACAAACAGCCCTATTACAAAGTGAGCAAAATATATGAATAGACACTTCTCAAAAGAAGACATATGAGCAGCTAACAGACACAGAAAAATTGCTGTTTCACTAGTCATCAAAGAAATGCAAATTAAAACTACACTGAGATACCACCTAACTCCAATCAGGATGGCCATCATCAATAACTCAAAAGACAAGAGATGCTGGAGAAGATGTGGGGAAAAGGGAACACTTCTACACTGTTGGTGGGAGTGTAAACTAATACAACCTCTGTGGAAAACAGTTTGGGGATTCCTAAAACATCTAAAAATCAACCTTCCATATGACCCTGCAATCCCCCTACTGGGAATATATCTGGAGGAACTCAAATCACTATGAAAAAGAAACCTGCACATGTGTGTTTACTGCAGCATTGTTCACAATAGCAAAAATATGGAACCAACCATGCTGCCCATCGAAAGAGGACTGGATAAAAAAACGTGGTACATATACACGATGGAATATTACGCAGACATAAAGCAACCTGAACGGACTTAGAGTCTATAATACTGAGTGATCTATCACAGAAACAAAGAACTAAGTATAACATATTCTCATTCATAAGTGAACCTTGAACAATTATCACAATACTATAAGAAAAGGATTGGCAGTAGTGGGAAACTGCTGGGTGGGGGGAGGCGGGATTGGCAGTAGTGGGAACCTGCCGGGGGAGGGAGGCACACCTCATCAACAGGGGTACCTGCATAATGAATATTTGTATACCTAACCCTGAATAGTACCCCACACCTTTAAAATAAAAAATAGAATAGTAACTCAGGAACATGCAAGGATTCCAAGTAGTATCCTTGAAATGTCAGTCTTAACAGATTCCATCCTTTCTTTACCTCATCTCTCTTCTAGAAGCTCAGGATACTCCTGATTACACTCTCCTTGAAATTCCATATTCCCTTGGCTCATGACATTCGTACTTTCTTGGTTCTCCTTAGTCATCTCTGACTAATTCTTTTACATTTCTTGTATATGAGTTCCTTAAATATACATGTTTCCCAGGCTTTACTGTCAATCCACATTTTATTTTAATTTAGACTCTATCCCAGGACAAACTCATCTATTCTCATGGGTGTAATATGCTAATCCTCTAAAATCTGCATTTTAAGACCAGATCTGTCTTTTGAGTTTTAAATTGCTATTACCTCTTCTATTTGTATGTCTCACATACATCTAAAAACCAACATGTTCATATTGTCTAATCCCTCTAATCCTGCTCCTTTGTTTTTTTTTTTCTTTTTTTTTTTTTGAGTTGGAGTCTCACTCTGTCACCCAGACTGGAGTGCAGTGGCCGCTCCCGGCCACTGCAGCCTCGACCTGCTGGGCTCCGGTGATCCTTCTGCCTCAGCCTTCCAAGTAACCGGAATTATAGGCATGCACTACCACGCCCGGCTGATCTTTTGATTTATTGTAGAGATGAGGTCTCGCTGCCTAGGCAGGTCTCGAACCCGCGGGCTCAGGCAATCCACTCACCTCAGCCTCCCAAAGGCGCGGGATTACAGGCTGAGCCACCGAACCCGGCTATTCCTGCTCCTCTTAAATCCATTCTTCTTCAGTTGGTGAGAACTCAATCCATTTATCCCAAGATAGAAACCTTGAATTATCCTTAACTCTTTCCTTCATCCCAATCATCCAATGTTACCAAATGTAGCTCCTAAACATTACTAAATTTATCACCTTATTTCTGTTCCTACTGTCACTCTAATTCAGGGTTTTTTTATCTCTAAACTAGATTACTATCAGAGTCTTCTAACTGCTCTTTTTTTACCCCCAGAATTCTTTCCCTCTAGTCCAGCCTCCATATAACAAACCATTTTGTTAAACTGGTTAAAACTCATCAAAGACCTCTTAATGTCTTCGGAATATCTTAAGACATCACCTCAAGATAGCCCCAATCTACCTACACATCAACCTATATACAGACCTACCCCCGCCGGCAAACCGAGTATTGTCTTTTGCCTCTATCCCTTCTGTTCTTGCTGTTCCTTCTGTTTGGAATCCCTGTCCCACATCTTTCGCCACCTGGTCAATTCCAACTAATCTATTTATATTTTTCAGGCGCCACCTCCTCTATGTTCATATGTTCCATCTTCCTAGGCTTGGTCTGTTGTTCTCATATTATTTTATGCAGTCCTCCATCACTGAACCAACAAAATTATAATGTAATTATATGTCCTCTTTTAAAAATCATACTTTACTATACTGTAAGTTCCTTAAAATGTAGAAATGTTATATATGTATATTTAATACTTTGATGCTTACTAAAACTTATCAAATGTAGAATGAGTTATCAACTATTCTGTCTGCTTCTAGACTTTTCTAGCTATATACCCAAAGACGCTAAGACTGGGGTTATAAGTCTTCTACATACTGTATCACCATCTGCTCACTATCTGCTCAATTTTTGCCACAAAAAAAAGACTAAAAAATAATGTAATATTTGTCAATTTACCTTGGATCACCAGCTACAATATATACTATAAATATGTATTTATAACCCCTACAAAAGTAGAGATGATACTTGTAACCTCACTTTCTGATCAGATAATTGCTTTAAGACTAGTCAAGTGAGGTAGTGAGGGGGGGAAAGAGTAGAACAAGAAGTCCGATCTGAACTGACTGTGAATAATCAACTGAGACAACTCACTAATTTCAGACCAGTCTCAGAACAAATCAACATATATTCATTTGAAAGCAAATAATTCATTACAACGTAGAAAGTCTCATCATACATCATCCCAAGTCCAGCATTTCTCATTAGCAGTGATGCCCGTCTCTCTGTAATATTCTTCTAATGGAGGTTCCAGAAGAATCACATCAAATTTGGGCGTTAGTTCTCTGATGTCAAAGGCTTCTATATCTGCTTGTAAGTACCTATTTAATTAAAGCGTAAAAAATTTTCAACTACCTTACAGATGGTAATGAAAGAATTTTCTTAGCTATCACTAAACATTATGTACAAAGTAATCATAAGATAATTACTACATGTGTTTCTATGGAAGGTCTTCTTTCTTCAGTATTGACATGAAATCACCTACTCTTTCTTAGTACATGGACAGAATTATACTACAAAGTGAAAACTATATTATTCCCTGTGGACAGCCAGACTATATTCTTCTCTCATTTTTACACTGAAATCCACACTCAGATGTGACTCTCTGAATTCCTTTCCAATGTCATCTGTATTTTGTAAGGAATATAACATTACTTTTTTTCTCAATTGTTCAGTTAGGTTAGAAAAACTATTTTTCTGTAAGTTTTCAATTCTTCCTTCTAAAAAGCAGTTTCTAAATATTTGCATAATGTTCTTTATTAGTTTATAAAAATGTTTATATTAACAGTCTTTTCACATTACCTAAGATAAATCACTTCTAGCCTTTATTGAAAAGTTTTCATACAGCATAAAGGCATTTTAAATCTAAAATACTTTAAATGCAAAAGGGTTTTGTTTATTTTTTTGAGACGAGGTTTTGCTATGTGCCCAGGCTGGATACAGTGGCTATTCACAGGCGCAACAGATCATAAGCACTATAGCCTGTACTTCTGGGCTCAAGCAATCTTCCTACCTCAGCCTCTCAACTAAAGGTGTGTGCCACGGCGCCCAGCTGTAAGAATATTTTTAAATTGGATAAATATTAGAGTATAGACTTCTTCCCCATATACTGAGACTTTTCGTGGTGCTTCTAATAACTTACAGGATATATTTTATCAAATTATTAAAAGTATAAAATATTTATAGCTAAATATGAGACAAAAGTCTCCAATTTCAAAGATCTTATACATTTTTCCATATTCCAAATTACGAATATCTCAAGATACTGTTAAATTAATTATTGTTTTCTTCTTCTCCTTCTTCTAAGTTTTCTAAACTTACTTCAATAACCAAATTAATTTTTAAGAAAAAAGCCATTTAAAAGCATTTTAAGTAAATTATCAAGAATACAACAGCAATGATTTTTTATAAAGAAAAAATATTTAGAGGCACTTTAAACAAATGATCTGGAAAGCTGAAAAAAAACATTGAAGAACTCACTGTGTACTCAGCACCAGAGTTTCAAACTACTATATTTTATTATAAAGGAGAAATAGAATCAGACATGATGGCTCACAACTGTAACCCCAGCTACTTGGGAGGCTAAGGTGAGTTACTTACTTGAGTCCAGGAGTTCAAGATTATCCTGAGTAACATAACAAGACCCAGTCTTTTTTATTTATTTAATTTTTTTAAAGAGAGAGAGAGAAAAGAAATAGAGTTGTAAAATATGTTAATGAAGACACTGAGTTTTATTAAAAACAGAAAGGTTATAGGCTAAACAAATTGACACTTTAAGCCTGAGTTGGGAATAGACAGTAGTTGAATAAAAACACTTACATAGGAGGCGTGTTGGATTTGGCTATTAACTCATCCTTTAGCCTGATGAGCTCCCTCAGTTTAGGATATTCTTCAAATCTGTCAGCTAAACCTGAGGAGAAAAAATAGTAAATTCTAAATTTCAACTTGACTGAGATTAACATCAGTAATTCAAAGATTATAAGCCCTCTCAAGAAAACAAGACACACACCACTTTAATCTCATTTCTTTTAAAAAGAGTTTAACTTCTTTCTTTCTTTCTTTTTTTTTTTTTTTGAGTTGGAGTCATACTCTGTCGCCCAGACTGGAGTGCAGTGACACGCTCCCGGCCACTGCAGCCTCAACCTGCTAGGCTCCAGCGATCCTTCCACCTCAGCTTTCCAAGTACCTTCCAAGTAGCTGGAACTACAGGTGTGCACTACTGCGCCCAGCTAATTTTTGATTTATTGTAAAGACGAGGTCTCGCCAAGTTGCCCGGGTGGAGTCTCAAACCTGTGGGCTCAGGCAATCCACTCACCTCAGCCTCCCAAAGTGCTGGGATTACAGGCTGAGACAACGAGCCTGGCCAAAAGAGTTTAATTTCTAGTAATTTTTAAGCAATTCACATATGCATTTTATACCTAATGACCCTAAATGTTTTAAAGCCCCATTCAAGTCAATAAACTATTTAAGTTATCACATTTATTAAGAATCTGCTTAAGGCATCAAGTTTAACCACTCAGGAAAATAAAAAACAATTACTTTTCTTGTGTGCTTCCTTTCCCCCTTTATTATAGCTTAAAAAAAATCCTTCTCCTAAAAAATAAAATCTAGTGATTATTCAGATTTTTGCTTAATTTTTTGGATAGTTATCCAGGGCAAAGCAAATGTGTATTTCTCCCTCCTGCCACAGGAAGCATATTCATAATTTAAATTATATAAACTTATTGATTTGAAAACCAAAATTACAACTATTAATAACCTTAACATCAAAGAGTAAGATTTTATAAAGCTTCCCCAACCAGTGGTTGTAGATCACATTTCAAATAAAACAAGTATGGTTATAATCAAGTTTCAAGATAGCAGAGTCAGCTCTCAATCATCTACAAGATAGAAGGTATAACTTTCTCAATTTATAATCATTTTCTAAGTATATTCTTTGCCTTGGAGAAGAAGGTGTCTTAAAAGCAGAAAGGTTTATATCCAATAAATTTGCTTATACAATTTGGATAAATTTTTATGCTACATCTAAATTTTGCTTATAAAAACATTAAAATTAATTTCTACCTCAAGAATAATGTTGCTTCCAAGTAACAAAAGAAAAAATAAGTTTGATTACATCAAAATTAAAGTGTTTGTGCTACAAAATACACTATCAAGAAAGTGAAGACAGCCCAAAAATGGGAGAAAATATGTGCAAATTATTCATCAGATAAGAGACTTATACCCCAAATATACAAAATCTATACACACACACACACACACACACACACACACACACACACACACACACATACACAGAGACTATATAAAGAACTCATATAATTCAATTAAAAAAAGATAATAAAACAACTAAAATATATGCAAAGTATCTGGACATTTCTCCAAAGTAGATAATTAAATGATTGATAAGCACATGAAAAGATACTCAATATCATTAATCATTAAGAAAATGCACATCAAAATCACAACAAAATACTATCTCATACCTACTAGGGTGGCTATAATAACAGATAATAATAAGTGTTCAGAATGTGAAGAAACTGGAACATTCATACATTGTTGGTAAAAATGTTATATCTACTTGGAAAAACAGTTGGGTAGTTCCTCAAAAAGTTAAACATAGGCCGGGCTCAGTGGCTCAGCCTGTAATCCTGTGCCTTTGGGAGGCCGAGGTGAGTGAATTGCCTAAGCCTGCAGGCTAGAGACCCACCTGGGCAACTGGCGAAACCTCATCTCTACAATAAATCAAAAAATCAGCTAGGCATGAAAGATCGCTGGAGCCCAGAAGGTTGAGGCTGCGGTCCTCGGGAGCAGCCACTGCACTCCAGTCTGGGAGACAGAGTGAGACTCCAACTCAAAAAAACAAAAACAAAAACAAAAAGTTAAACATAGGATTACCATGTGATGAAGCAATTGTGCTCCTAGGTATATACAAAATAGAAATGAAAACATTTGTCCACATAAAAAATTTTACATGAGTATTAATAACAGCATTGTTAATAACAATGAAGACGTGTAAACAACTCAAATGAATAGATAAGCAAAATGTGGTATACATAGGCAAAGAATATTATTTGACAATTTTAAAAAAATGAAGCACCGGACTTGGTGGCTCAGCCTGTAATCCCGCGCCTTGGGAGGCTGAGGTGAGTGGAATGCCTGAGCCCAAGGGTTCGAGACCCGCCTGGGCAACTTGGTGAGACCTCATCTCTCCAACAAATCAAAAAAAAATTAGCTGGGTGTGGTAGCACGCGCCTGTAGTTCCAGCTACTTGGAAGGTTGAGGCTGAAGGATCGCCGGAGCCCAGCAGGTCGAGGCTGCGGTGGCCGGGAGCGGCCACTGCACTCCAGTCTGGGAGACAGAGTGAGACTCCAACTCAAAAAAAATAATAAAATTAAAAATTAAAAAATGAAGCACAACCACGTGCTTCAGCAGCAATGACCCGTGAAAATATGCTAAGTGAAAAAAGACAGTGATAAAAGACCACACACTGTATGATTTCATTTATATGAAATGTTTAATACTGGAAAACGAATAGAAAGTAGATTAGTGATTGTTTAAGGCGGGGGGGTACAGATGAGGGGGAGGGAAAAAGGACTGCCTGCTAATCGGTACAGGTCTTTACAGGAGAAGGAAATGTTCTCAAATAATTGTGATAATGGTTGCACAACCCTGTGGATACACCAAAAAAAAATGACTTATACTCCTTAAATGGGTGAACTGTATAGCATATAAATTTTCTCAATAAAAATGTCTGAAATACAGGAATAGTCACAGAACCAAACTGGAGCCAAAAAAAGAAGAAGAAAAAAATAGTGACACTGCTTGATGGAAAAGGAAGGTAAACTGGAAGCACTTAGATTGGAAAGAGAAAGTCAAACTGGGAAAAATAATTTTGTCAGAAATAATCCACAAAATGGACAAATTACATGCATGTAATCAAGATTTAGCAATAACCTATTTCAAATATGACATACCTACATCCCTGATGAAATTTTGAGGTCTATGTCCAGTATCTACAAAATGTTGGCAGTAATCATTATGGGGATTTAAGCTCTGTGTTCCCTAAAGAAAAAGTCAAAATGAAATTAACAGTATGTACTCTGATGGAAGATACACTAACTTTGCACTTTGTTTTTTATTATAAAGTAACACAAAATGTAATTGATTGATAGACTAAAAAATTAGTAATATTTGAAAACATAAGTAAAATAACAGCATTACTTTTTAGTGGCTACTGACATTAATACACCATTATAGCAAACTAAATACCCAAATAACAAAAGAGTATTTCATGAATCATTTTAATTGATCTTTATTTTATAATAACCCCTCAATTATTGAAAAAAATCTTGAAAACAAATAGGTATCTAAAGTCTTTTCAGGTCCAGAGCTTAAATGTGAAGGTTACAAGATTAAAATTATTTATTTTACCTTAAGAAAAGTACTAGAATCTTTGTAAATCTCTTCTTCATATGGCAAATTCTCTTCCTCTTGTTGTATTTCTAGTTCATCCTTGAAAAATATAAGATTAAGTAAATATTTGATGTAAAAGAACTATTATTCTAATTACCATATCTTGATTAAAACTCAACATAGACTGGGCACACGCCTGTAATCCCAGCACTTTGGGAGACTGAAGCAGGAAGATAGCTTGAGTCCGGGAGTTCAAGACCAGCCTAGGCACACCATGAGACCTCGCCTCGACAAAAAACATACATAAAAATAAAAATTATGCCGGGCTCGGTGGCTCAGCCTGTAATCCCGCGCCTTTGGGAGGCTGAGGTGAGTAGATTGTCTGAGCCCGCAGGTTGGAGACCCGCCTGGGCAGCGAGACCTCCTCTCTACAATAAATCAAAAAATCAGCCGGGCGTGGTAGCACGCGCCTGTAATTCCGGCTACTTGGAAGGCTGAGGCAGGAGGATCGCCGGAGCCCAGAAGGTCGAGGCTGCGGTGGCCGGGAGCGGCCACTGCACTCCAGTCTGGG